AGGCATGGGAGCAGAGGCCGGGTGCAGCTTCTACATACTAACACTCTATAGATCATGCTCATGTGTTCAGCACAGTCAGACTTATATTGTTTCAGACATGGACTGATAAAGGTCTGGACATTTTCCGGAGTTTGTCTTTCACATGTGAAGAAGCAGCATCAGATTGAAGAGGGGTGGAGCCTGTGTAGGGCAGCGGGGGGGGGGGCGTTTAAATTCCGCTGCAGGAAATCACAGTGATTGAGAATTTCTGCGTCGGCCCTTCTCGTCAAAAGCTCTAAAATCTCGTTGTCTTTTCAAGTTGACATCTTCGTCTGCGTCTCCACCTGTCCCACAGCGACCGTTCAGGAAAGTCTTTGACATCGGTGGGACAGGACACGAGAGTTTTAATGCCCCTCGCTAGGCAACAGCAATAAGTGTTTGAGCTGTTCGTACCGTTAGCCGTTCGTTTGAGTTTGAGGCCTGATACTCAAACATCAGACGTCTCATCGCTTGTCGGGGGGGGGGGCAGTTAGTTTGAGTCCGTCGGAGCTTTCTTCTCTCTCTCGGATGAAAGCTGTGACACAGTCGCTCCTCAGAAGCTACATCTGGATTGAGTCACTGCTCTTTTCATCCTGAGATATTTGTAATCTTCCAGTTCGGCGTCCATTGCGTGTTATAAACGTCATCAAAAGTCACTCGCTGAGAATTTTTCCAGAGATGTTGCTGCTTGTCGTTCCTGCTGTTTCCTCACATTGGCTCGCTCCGGTTGTTTTATCAGGGGGGCTGGCAGGAAAAGTTCCACAAAGTGTCCGCGACAGCGACTGACTCTGACTTTTGTTGTTCTCACGTACAACCGCTTCCGGATGATTTGTGGAAACTGTTCCCATGTCGGTGCATGTCTGAAATCAGCTTCAGTAGAACCTCATCCATTCGCTGCCGTGCACAGGAGCAGCCACAGAGCGACTGAGTCGACTGTGACGACACCGAAGAAAGACGACAACGGGAGACGGACGTCTGCAACTGTTTGTACTGAATAAGCTATCGTCTGTTTCGTTTGTTCTAAAGGTGCCTACAATGATAATTTTGGATCTGACTGCAAGAAGCCGTGGGAAGGTTGAAATGTTCTTGCACGTGCACTTAGTAGAACCATGATTTCATATTTTATTACGTATTAGAATAAACGTTGAGAGACGTTTCCTCTTCCCTTTGCACAACCTGCGTCTCGTGTTGCTTTAAAAGCTTTTAATATAAACTCCATACAGACTGAGACTGTTATGATATATGAGATATCTGATATGATGCGTAGACTGTAAATAAAGATGGACGACATGACAGCTCCCAAAAGTGAAGCCAAATCATCCTGTTCGCCCCCTGGTGGCTGGCTGCAAAATAGGTCCAAATGGGACATGGCTCAAACTGAATTAAACGTGAAATACATTTTTCTCAAAGACTGATTCTGTCATTGCAGGTAGTTCTCATCACACCGATGTTTCAGATAAGTTTAGTTTATTTGATGACTTGATTGACAGCTGAGACTGACTCGTGATTGGACGAGTGTGGGGGTGGGACTTACCACACTTGATGGGTTGTTTTTTTTTTTTCCCACTCTCTTTATTCAAGAGTGCGTTTTTTCCGTTGGAGACCAGGATTTATTGATTTCACGTTCAGATTTTGTAATTCTCTCACTCGAAACACTCAAATATACACGACCTGTGCTTACATTCTCTCTGCTTGTGCTCCAGCCTCAGCTCTTTTCCTCGTGCGACGTCGGTATTCGGATAATTTGGCTTCATTTTTGTACAATGGGAGGAAGTGCAGACGTCGCCCATCTTTAGATACCGCCTATAATACGATATATGATGTTGTTATATATGCTGAAGCCTGAGATGATATAATTTTCTGTTATTGATATATTGACTCGTCCTAACATGTATGATACTGTTCATAGGACCATTGATACGGACGCATATTTCAACCTGTAGTTTTTAATGACACTGAACATAGATGATAACAGTTTTATTTTGGAATCGCTGACAAGAAGTTCCTCCATTTGTTTTTTATAATGTGACAAAGATATTAATTCCGAAGAGATAATGTGACCTTGTGCATGTTATTACTGTTATTTATCACAAAATACCTCCGTGTGTCTTGGATCTAACGGGACATTGTTCTCTTGTAACTGTACCTTGAGGTCACCCACTGAATGATGAGTTGCACAGGATGATTATCGCAGCTGGAAGCAGAGGTGGAAATATCTGACGCAAATTAGCGTGTTGAGTAACGGAGGAGTCCCACGTGTGGTATTATTTTACCGCCGCGTGTTTCCGTCTTTTCAACCTCAGACATGAAGTTTGTGGAGACGCAGACGGCCATAGCTGCACAGGAAGCTGCATTTTCTCTTATAACTTAAACCCAGATTATTCCCGTCAGTCACTGCTCCAGCTTTGTGGGTTCAACAAATTAGATTTTTAACTTGTGACCCGCGATGGGTCGGTCACTGTCTATATAAGGTGCGGACGTCACGTGAAATCTGATTATTTATTCGCATTTCATCCGTGGAAGCATAAAATCTGTGCAGGCGAGGGATGAAATCCTATTACTCCTGTGTGACTGCAGCTTGTCTCTCCTCCGTGTGTCTGCTGACCTGAATTATAACCAGGACCACGTCTCTTATGGAGCCATGAACTTATTTTTCTGTATTTATTTATTAAAACGGAATAAATTAAAAAAAAAAAACATTTGTGAAGCGTGTTTATTTCACAGACAACTAGAAATGAAAGCAACAACAAACCAGCAGCTTCACTGAAGTAAGTGTGACGTTTGAGTGAGTGTGAATGTTTCCTCCGTCATTGCCCCACCAGAGTTAATCTCATGTGGCTGCAGGGGGCGCTGCTGCTCTGTAAAAGTTACATAGTGGTGCTTTAAAACTACTTTATACTTACGCTCCCTATTTAGCAGTTCTTCTCAAGTAAAGCTGTAAACATTTGATAAATTCATACAAACCAAACGATCGTGATTGTGTTTAACTTGTTTGAAGCTACAACGCACCAAATAATATGTTTTCATTTAAATACAACCTTTAAGGTTTAAGATGATTAATAACAACATGCATTCACTAAATTCAGCCGTGTGGGAGAGAGAAGTGTGAAAGTTCTTTACTTTGACACGAGGGTAACGTGCAGGTCAGGTACTCAGCTAAACGTATTTTTATCAGTATCAATTATTCAGTAGAATGGCTCCTGTCATTAGTATTTATATTATATCATTATATTGCTGTATCACTATTAAAAATACATCTACATGAAAGGAGTATTTTAATGTTTTAGGACTGATATTATAAACTGTGGAAGGTTTAATCATATTTTAGAAG